TGTTGAACACTTGTGTTGAAAATTATAAGAGTGAATTTTGATCATTTGGAGAAGATCAATTTTGACATTGATATTATTATTCACAAAACAAAATCATTACAAGTATTTGTATTCTGACTTGTGATCCAGGATTGTTGGACACAAGGGTGAGTGTTTACAAGAGGATTGTTCTTGTACACTTGTTATTTTTATTGTTTGATAGTAGGCCTCACCGGTTGATGGTGTGATAGGTTGTACTTTATTAAATAATAGTGAAAACTCTCTTTCGTGTTGAAAGGGGAGTGGAGTACTCTCGGATTGTGAGGGGAACCACTATAAATCTTGGTGTCCACTGTTCTTTTACTTTCTACTGCTTTCATAACCAAGAACACAAACCAGTAAAATTTCAAGAAACCATAAAAACCGAAAAAAGTTCTAAAGTCCTAATTCACCCCCCCCCCCCCCCCTCTTAGGCATACTCTGTACTTACAAAGCCTACCTTGAGGTCATGGGATTCATGGATTGATATGTTGATACATGTGTGGTGTGGTTCCAAGGTTAAGCAAAGAAAGATCAAGAATGTGGGAAGTTGCTAAATTAGGGTTGCAGTGTAAAATCCCCTGTTTAGTGCCTAACTTCAAAGCCACATAAGTCAAAATACAAGTTTCAAATGGATCTTTGGCCAACATGAAACTTGTAGAGCTTCTCAATACCTTTAATTTGAGTACTAGAAGTCTTCAAGAAGATTTGTAGAACTCAAGTTATGGTCTTTGCAAATTACAGGTCACCAGAGGACACTGAAATTTATCTGTGAAAGTCACTTGACTTCCAAGCAACTTTTGCCCCTCAAGGAGTTTTCAAATGGATTCTTGGCCAACATAAGAGTTGTAGATCTTGATCTTAGCTTTCCATATAGTACTAGAAGTCCTCAAGGGGATTTGTGGAACTCAAGTTATGATCTTGGCAATCCAAGGGTATTTTGGGCATTTGTGATTATAGGTCATTTTCAAGCATGTGCCAAAATCTCCATCTTCCACTCCTCAAATGGAAAATTGTTCAACTAGAAAGTTGCTCAAAATAAGATTTTAACCTTGACCATGCATCAAGGAAGGTTTGAATTGGCTCATATGAGAAGTTGGTTTGAAATGGTCTTTAAATGAAGAATTAAAGTCATCTAAAGGCCAAAAAGAATGCAATTTCATGATTTATGGTCAAAACAAGTCATGTGGCATATCATTTTGATCAGAATAAACATTTTAAAAATGATGGCATTGTTACTTTTGGCATTTCAGGTCATTTTCCAAGACTTGCATTTGGTGACTTATGTTTGAAGTAACATATGCAAAACACCTCATGAGATCAGCTACAAGGCAAATACACATCTCATTCACTTCTAATTGTCATCTGGTGAGAAATTCAAGCAAGAGAAAGCTACTGAACTAAGCAAAACGCAGAATGCATAACATGAGAAATCCAAGTGCAAGAGATTTTCAAAATCTCATTTAAGTTGTTACAGAAACTTCTAGATCTTTCTAACATGTTCTATATATACATTGTAACTGATTCAGTTGGGTTTTTGGCCAAGAATTGAAGAGAAACGAGAAAGAGCCATTGAAATTTTCTTCATTGCATCAAGATTCGAATTCTGAAGTAGGAGTGATTTCAAAGCAAAATAGTGATTGTAAAAGCTTCATAATGAGTTCTTGAAGGAATCTAGAAGGAATTGAAGCTTGATTCGAAGGAATTCTCACTTTGTTCGTTCACTTTTACCAGGTATGCAACTTTCACTCTATAGCTTAGGTTAGATGAAATTGATCATAATTTGAGGTGTAGATAGGTTGTAGATCATGCCTAGATGGATTCTGGTAGGAAAAATGGAGGTTTAGTGACAAAAACTAGGGTGACGCATTTTCTGTTGAGGAGTAGGGCTTGTGGTTCTTGAGGAATTAATCATGATTGAGTGGTGAGAATTGATCAGGGAGACGTGTAGATGAGGGTAGGCTTGTTAATTTCAAGATTGGTGACAATTGAAGTTGAGGTGCTTTCTGAACGTAGGATCGTGTTTGGAGTTGTGGCTTGAATCAATGAAATTGGAAGTCATATTTGAATTCAGTGTGGAAAACCGAGTAGGATTGAGTGTTCACGTTTGTTGTTTGATGCACTTGGCACAACCTGCAACTAGGGACGACGGTGGCACCAAGCTCCGGCCACCGTCCTGTGCACTTCCCTCCCATATTTGAAAATTGAAAAAGATAACCTTTTAACCATTGGATTGTGCTTTGACTTTGACTGAACCATTGAACCAACGGCCTTGATTCGTTTTCGTTCTCTGAAGGATTGAGTTTCACCATGAAACTCACTGTTTCATTTAAGTGAATTGGCTTGGGCTCAACATATTTAGTTACTATGCACACCCCTCCTTTAGGCCCAGTGAAGAAACACACGTGAGTTACTTGCTATTTGGCACAAAGTTTTTCCATTTTTTCATTTCATTTTCCTAATTCATTTTAATGCTGGGTGGGCCTGGTTATGCGCTTGATACTTACACCCCCTATTGGGCCCAGCCTGATGACATAACTAGATAGTATTGCTATTCAACACGCGCCTTATTCATTTTCTTTCCATTTTCTTTTATTTTCATATTTTTCATATAGTTAGGAATAAATTCATAATAAATAGGAAAATAATCATTTTTCAGCTAGATTTTTTTTCCCTAACTCCTTAAAAATTGTAGAATTTAATAGGATTGAAGAATAGTTAATTCATGCATTTTATAGTTTATTTGCATTTTTTGCATTTTAATTGGTTTTATTTTTAATTTGTTTGGTATGCCATTTTGCTGATTTTATTATGGTTGATTGGTGGTGAATTTTGAGTTGATTCTTTTTGGGCTAGCTAGCTTAGATATGCATGTACCCATAGTAATTTTATCATATTTTTGTGAGAGAATTTTAGGCTAGTTTGAGCATTGGACATTAGGTGGTTTAGAATTAGGGTTTTAAGATGATACCTTTAGGTTTAGGGCATAGTTTAGGGTCCAAATGAATGGTTAACCCCCTGGTTTTTGTATGAGAGATTCATAAGAGGTTTAGGAACCCTTAGTAATTTTTGTAGGATTTTACAATCACTTTTGGTATTTTAAGTAGAATTAGTTTCTAGGTGTTTCTGATGAACTAACTTGGCTAGTTTAATTCAATAGTTCCCCTTAGATTAGGGTGGTGTTGCTTTTGAGCTTGGATGATCATGAAGGCCAATTGAAGATGCTTTGGAGAGCTTGAAGGAGCTTGGATGTGAAGATTTTCTCATCTTGTGGATGCTTGTCGGGAGCTTAGGGAAACTAGGGTTTTAGGAAGAGCATTAGACTAGTTTTGCTTCTTTCTTCAAACATGGAGTATCTTGTCCATCTCCATTCTATCCAATGACATAAAGTCATCCTTGGGAAGCTCCATCTCTCCTTAGGAGGGATGAGGGGTATGCCCAAGGGAGTAGAACTTTGAGGATGCCAGTCTCTCTCATAATGCTAAGTTCTCAGTGACTTCCCTTGGTTGTCACTGAGCTTCTTAACATTTCAACTTGATCTTGTTGAATGATTCTCCCTTGGAGGTGCTTGTTGAATCTTGGTAAAGGAAAAGATGAGGTAGCTTGTTGAAGCTGGTTGCTTGTTGAAGCTAGGGTTTTGCTGCTTGTTGAAGATGAAGTTAGGAGCTTGTTGAAGCTGTTTACTGGTTGAAGTTTGCTGGTTTAAACTGGTTGCTTGTTGAAGTTTGAAGCTTGTTGAAGCTTGGTGCTTGTTGAAGATTGAAGGTTTAGTGGAGCTTGAAGATGGGAGCTATTCATGAAGATGAAGGTTGTTGCTGTCAACTTTTTGCTGTTTAACCAACTGTTGTTGTCAGAGCTACTGCTTGTGCTGTTTGCTGTAGGAGTTTGATGATGCTGCTTGGGCTGCCTTCTTTGCTTTGGGGTTTTGTTTTCTGTATTGTTTGTTGGCTTGTGTAGCTTGCCCCCTAGGTTTGAGGTGAATGTTGATTCACTTTGCCTGTTGTTTTCCCAGGTTTGAGGTTGAGTGGGATTCCCTTGCCTCGCTTGTATTGCTGCATTGCATGCATTTTACTGTATCTGCTTGCTTTCTTTTCTGTTTATCCCCTAGGATCTCTGATTTCCTCTGTGCAGGAGGGAATTATGACAGACATTAGGATTCTTATCCATGCATGATAACATTAGGTTAGTTTTATTCCTTTTTCAACCCTAGGCTTTTTAGAGTTTCTTTCTCTTCCCATCTCAAAACAATTCAAAAATACAGTAATAAGGTTAATCAACGGCGTACGATACGAGCCTTAAGCTATTTGAGAAAAGGTTGTTGGAGGGTCACTCTTCAGTAAACTGACTGCTTAATATGGTACCCTTAGGGTGACATGCGACGTAGTCACTCTCAGATCATAGTCTCTAGTATGTCAGAGATTGCACACAAACTAAAAAACACTTCTCTCGTAAAAGATTCAAAACAAACATCAAAGTGTCATTTTTGTCCGCTTGGACTCTTAATCAAGAAAAACCTTTTTTGAAGGTAATAAAAAATAGTCAGACAAGCTTGTGTCTTCCGTAGCCCGAACTACGTTTGCTCTGATCTTTCATGCTGTATGAAAGTACGTAGGCATAGGATGCCGTATCCTAGCGAGCAACCTTCCCCTCCTTTCCCGTACGTAGGCGAACTACGTTGACTCTGATTTCTCGTTCCAGACGGGAATACGTAGGCATAAGGTGCGATACTTTGCCGAGTCATTTTCTTTTCTTTTAACCCAGACCTGTAGAGTAGATAGAATACAATCCATACTAGAAAACAAGCGTGGATCCCGTCGAGTACGACGGACGTGAGGGGTGCTAATACCTTCCCCTTGCGTAATCGACTCCCGCATCCAGGATTTGGTTGCGATGACCATTCTTTTCCCGTTTTGCGTTAGGTTTACTCTTAGCGTTTCCTTTCCCCCTGTTGGGATAAATAACGCACGGTGGCGACTCTTCTATCATAGCCGGCGCTGATTTTCGCAGTAGCGACACTCCTCAATAAGTGGCTGCAAATGCACATCAATTTCATTTCCGGGTGACTTTGGTCCAGGAATAAGTAACGACATTAAATAATTTTCAGTCTTCATGCACAAATTTGGCGGATAGTTATATATTGTTAATACAACAGGCCATGTGCTATGTGAAAGACTCATAGTCCTAAATGGATTAAACTCATCACTTGCCAACCCAAGTCTGATGTTACGAGTTTCATGAGTAAAATCTGGATGTTTGGCATCAAACTCTTTCCATGCTTGGGCATCGGTCGGATGCCTTAACTTCCCATCTCTTGAATGATGGTCTGCATGCCACCTCAATGCGTCGGCTGTCTTTGAACACATAAAAAGTCTTTTCAATCTTGGAATCAAAGGAAAATGTCTTAGAACTTTGGCGACAACCTTGTGAGCTTTTATAGATTCTTCAAGATCATTAGCAACTTCAGGATATTCAATCCACCTTGATGCTCCACAAATATGACATGAATCGTCTTTCCCATGATCTTTCCAAAACAACATGCAATTGTTGGGACATGCATCAATCTTTTTATAGTCTAAGCCCAAATCTTTAATCATAGATTCTGTTTTATTGAAAGAGGCAGGGATGTTCAAATCAAGCATAGCCTCTTTCAACAACTCTAAGAGAGCAGTGAACGATGCATTGCTCCATCCATGGAGACATTTCAACAAATAAATTCGAATAGTGAATGATAACGAGGAAAACTTTTCACAACCAGGATACAACTCTTGATTTGCATCATCGACTAATTTATAAAATTTCTTTGCATCTTCATTTAACCCTTCATGTACTCCACCTCCTTCAACCACATCCTTAAATGTCTCAAATAGCAAGCCATCAATATCATCATGAGATGATGTTTCATTATCAGTATCGCCATCAAGATCCATAAGACTTTCATCTTCACCATGATAAATCCATTCAGTGTACCCCTTTACAAATCCTTTGCTACATAAATGGTCATACACTACATCTCTTACTTCCCAACTATCATTGCAACATACAACACAAGGACACAAACTCTCTTCTTCTTCAACCTTTCCTTTGGTAAATGCAACATCCAAAAAGTAATTGACACCAACCTTATAACCTTGACTTTGTGGAGGCAACTCCACCCAATTCTTCTTTATCATGTTTGGTTATCTAAAATGAAATAAATTATATATTACTATAAGCCTATAAGGGTACTTCAAAACAGAATAGAGGTGTTCATCATGACCATATCATAAAAAAATATTATTAACTAAAGGTGTTTAGAAAAAGTATCATAAAAAAAGGTGTTGAGTAAAAACTATTATCGCTTGAAATATTATCATGACTTGAAATATTATATATGTTGACAAACCTAAGAAGTAAATAAACTAATGCTTATAAACTGAGTCAAGTTTAGTTGACTTTATGCTTCCTTTGAATTAAACATTGTCACGAAACCTATAATTTTAATAATTATTATACTATGCATTTGAAAAGTCCTTGTTATACTTGAAGCAACACCAAAACTAAATCAACAAAATCAAATAGTTTAAACTTTTAAATTTCAAGTAAATTATGTAAATACTTGAAACACCACCAAAACTAAATCAATAAAATCAAGTTTCTCAAACTCTTACATTATACATTAGTAGTATGCAGGATAATCTAAAAATGGGAAGTGAGGTTGTAGAATACCTCCATTTGTATAATAGTTTTGTTCGAGTAATTAAGTTATTTTTCTTTTACATTCAAAAAGTTTTCATAAAATAATGTATGATCATAGCTTAGAGATAATTATTATAATATAAAAGAAAACAATACTATATGTTTACCAACATTATTCTCTTAAAACACAATTACCAGACAAGTCTCATAGCTAAACATATTCCACATCATGCATGGTCCCAAATTTGAAACCATCAAAAAATGAAATTATTTGCTACATGTAGCTAACTTTATTAAAATACAAAACAAGATCAAATATAAAAAAAAAAAATACTTCTTCTCAGAGGGATCACTTTTCTACTGAGAGTACTGACTAAAAAATCCATTTAAGACATCTCAAAAACATATTCTTAGAAACCTTTTCAACTCTCTATATATTCAATTGAAAAGGCATCTACCACTAGTGATTCTTTCAGGGGTCAAAAGTACCACATGCTAGTGAGTTGTATATATATGCATATTTGTGGAAAACTAAAGAAAAAGGCACCAATTATTGAGTAAATTGCCTTAGCATATAGAAATTTGGTTATGTAATGGAGGGACCATCTAAAATTGCAATCCATGGAGAAAAAGGAGAAAAAGGATAGGTTGCTTGGCATGCAATTAAACCAATAATAAATAGGTAATTCTTAAATCCATGAAACAATCAAAATTATAAATAAATAAAACAATGCAAACTTGCTTTCAAGAAACAAAATGAATTAAAAGTTCAAAATTATAATTTTAAAAGTAAGTCCATGATATAAAGTTATGTATATCTATGTGTTGATTATATAAAATCTAATGCAAGAAATGATTTAAACTATCAGGCCATGATTAAAAACGCATTGAAGTTTAACAAAAATTTAAAATTAAAAGATTCATAAGGATGTCCATCAAAGAACATACCTAAGCATTAAAATTGATATACATACATCGTATACCGAAGGTATCTTGTCAAGGGTATTTCTTGTTAGTAAATTCCAATTGTTTGTCCAAATAGAACACTTCTAGGTGTACTAATATCAACCCTCTTAGAAAGATGATCCAATGCAACCCGGTGAAAATAATATCAACCTTCTAGGTGTTCACTTGCTCTAAAATTTTACGATAAATAATGCCTCAGTGCCAACTTTATCATAGAATGACATGAAGATTTTATTAAAATTCACAAATCTAATCACACTTATTATTTATGAATGAAGAAATAAATGATTAATATGCGTAGGAAAATAATGCTTCTTTCTTTGATAAATTGGAAATTACCCACACAACACAATTTTTAAAAATGCATCTAAACTTACTAAAATTTTTTTTCACATTTTTCTTAGATTCTTTGAAAATTTTCTCCATACCTTTAGCTTTAGTTTTTGTTAAAACTTTAACCTCTTATCGCATACCCAATCTCACAATCAAGTATTCAAATAATCTAATTAAGAAAGAAACAAATAGAAATTAACGTAACAACAAAAAAATAATCTAAGAGATGATTCATTATGTACCTTTGTTTTATGTAAAGCATAAATTGTTCACTGTAAAGCACGAAACACAACCGGTGGCGCACAACAACATGACTGACGGCAAGCAGCAACACGACCGGCGGTGCACACAGCAATAAGACCGACGATAATAAGTTAGTGAATTCGATTTGTCGTTCCTGATTAGGTTTTACACAACGTTTCTTTACTGTATAACGTTTCCCTCTTTCACTACATGTGTGAACCAGTTAGGAGTTCTGGGCCTTAAACTTGGCCCCGTTGATTTTTTTTATGAATATTTTTTTTCTTTTGAGATTTTTCCCTTGCATGATATGTAACTAATGTAAATTAATTGTTTTTCTAATAATATTTAGAGGAAAATATTTGTTTTTTAGTGTATATGTTTGGAGGGAAGATTGCCACCAAAATTTGACGTTGCTAAAATTTTATGCAACATTGAAGAAATGTAGCCCTTTATTAGAACTAATGTAACAATCTAAAAATGTCCCTGAAAGTATTTAAAGGCACAATTATTAAGCATTGCTAAAGAAATAGTATAATGACACTTCAAAATCGTCCCTAAAAATAGTTAAGGGCACAACTAACAATCGTTGCCAAAAATATAAAAGAGTGATGTTCCAAAAACGTCCCCAAAAGTATATAGGCAACAATTATCAAGGGTTGCAAATATATTTTTGTCAACACCCATAAATTGTTGCCTATATGAATTTTAGGCAACATTTTTTACATGTTACCTCAAAAAGTGTTGCCAGAGACAACAAATGTTGTAGTGAATCTTATTCCATCTAGGGGAGATATTCATTTATTCAGTATTGGACCATTAATATCAGTCATATCCATTCTAATAAGTTATTCAGTAATTTCGTTTGTGTCATACCCCAAATTTGTCCTACTTGTATAACTTTCATCTGTATTTCCATCCACTAACCATTGTTCAAAAATCCAAAAATATGTTACTTCTGCCTGTCGTTCAAGTTTGGGATTAGGTTAAATTAACTAGAATCGAATTTCATTTGAGGGTATCCAGTCAGGCTTGTGAGCAATAGGGATTGAAGTTCATCTAGTTTCAACCTAATTTGTTTGGTCAGGCAAAGGTTGGTTTCAAGATCAAGGATATGATACTGAGTTTATTTAGTGTTGGCGTCTGAGGTTCTAGTTAGGATTTTGCACCCAGTCAAAACAAGTGTTAATGGGTCAGGTTCATCAGGCTATGATAGTAGTCCAATTTATTCAAGATTCAAAGATTGGTTTTTGGCTTCTCGAGGGCTAGTTCATAATCTCTAATCCAATTATATTCATTTCCACTCAAGGTCAAATAAATATTTCTTGATTTTTATCCATTTTTCAAATTTCATTTCTCCATTCATTTTAAACTATATCCATCAATCATTTTTATCTATTTTTTAAAAATCTAATTCAAATTCAAGACATGTACGATTATCTATTTTTTTTAGTTATCCATTCTTGTTTCAGTATCTATTTTCCAACTTCTACTTTTCACTTCAACACATTCCTAAATCCATTATCCATTATGTCCATTTCCAAAAACATATTCAAATATCCATATTCAAAGCTCATTATTCCCATCCACATTCATAATAATAATTAACCCAAGTCCATCTTGCAAAAAGTCTACAAGGCATTGATTTCAAAGCCCATTGTTTTTTAATTTTATTACAAAAATCTACAAAAAAGAGAAGAGAAATTTCTACAAATAATTTAGAGCCCATAAAACCAAGGCCCATGACACACATCAAGTTCTACAAAAATAACAAAAAAATGCATAGCCCATTCAAAGTATCAAAGTCAAAGTACAAGTCAAATACAACAAATTCAACAAAAATCTTGGGTTCACAGCACATGTTCTCATGATGACTACAAGGAAATGAATTGTCACAAGGCGACAAGGGCCTCTTTATTGACAATGGGAATTGGTATAATAAAATGACCACCTACGAGAGCCATCACAAAAATGGAAAAACGGTATTTGACGTATTTCACACGGAAAAATCTGCGCAGTAGACAACTGAAAGAGAAAGGATACCTAATCTGAAGGACCTTCTTCTTCAAATAGGATAGTCCTTCTTTGTGAGAAGGGGGATTCCTCTTCTAAAAACAACAATAATCTCTTCTATTCTTCTTGTTTTCCAACTTCCCTCATCATCTAGCAGATTCACAACCCAACTCCATAATCCTTCCTTCAAATCACCCTTCAACTTTTCCTTTTGCATAAGAACCATATTCATCTCTAACCTCTCCTCCTTCAGCCCACAAATCTTCCCCAAACACTTAACCCAAACCACAAAATTCAAACCAAATCACAACACTAACAACCATAACCCCTTTAAATTCTTTCCCTTCAAATATTTCTCATCTTTCATTTTTTTTCATCATTCAAACAAACCCAAAAACAAAAGAGTAGAAAAAGAGATGGGGTTCGAGCAAAATGAAGAAAAACCAAACCTGAAGCATGAGAAGAAATAGAGACGAAGGAGAGTGTCGAACGAAACAAGGTCAGATGGAACTTGGTCGTGTGGTTTTCTCTTTTATTTTGATTTGATTCATCGATTTTCCCCTTTGTTTTTGAGTGAATCTTATCATTTACGCTTTCCTTATTCTTGCTTCACAGATTGTGTTCTTTAAAATATGATTTTGAAAATATGTTGAAGAACTGATGACGACCTGCGTTCGTATTGTTGTTGCTGCTTTGGTCATCACCTTACTTTGTCTTGATTTGGTCTTTAAGTTTAAAATTTGATAATGACGGTGCTATTATGGTTAGGGATGCTCATGGTTGGGTTCTTCAAATAACCAATCCATATCCAAAACAAAATCATTTATTTTAACCGGTTATTATAATCCATTCATATAACCGGTTTTGTTTTTATAAAACTGGTTATAAACCGGTTATATCCATAACCAAATTTTATAACCAGTTATATATTTTATATCCGGTTTTAAAGTTCATATCCGGTTTTCAACTTAAAACCGGATTTGGATATAAAAATCCAGTTTTTAAAACTGGACATTCATATTTTAACAACTGGTTTTTCAGCTAAAATCGGTTTTTGACTTAAAATCCAATTTTTATAAATGAATTAAAAAAAAGGTATGCAAGTATGCAAATAGAATAGTTCTTTGTTGATTTAATCACTTCCTGCAAGTATGCTAGTATAAATGAATTGGTCAAAACTTTCAAGTCTCAACAGCTTCGAGAGAATAATAGAACATGAAATGAATTTAAGATAACAAAAACTAGAAGTAGTATAATGATTCTTTCTTTGTATAATTACAAAATCTGTCTTACAATTACACAATAAGGAAAAGAAACATCCTAATAAAAAATAAACAAGAAAAGAAGTAGAATCAGAAGAAGAGGTTAAAGAAGAACCAAAACAAAAATTCCTACTTCTCAGATCTTCAAAACTCATACCATTTCGTGACAGAAACCGCTTCGTCGCTCTCGTCAGCACAACGGCGTACTCTTCTATTATCGCCACCATATGCAACTTATACTTCTCAAGTTCATGTTCACTAATGATGCTTATCCTGAAAACCAATGCCATTCCTGATGATCCTCCACATACATAAATATTCATACAATAGTGAGAATCACATAAAGCATAGCCAACTCAAAATCATCTAACATTTTGATTAAAAAGTCCTGAAAACGGAAAAACACTGCAAAGTTCTGAATGGTAGCTTGCCAGGATTCTAAAAGGTGGTAGCTTTAAAAAATACTGCATTAATCTGGACAGCAGCTTATTCACACAAACTGATACCATATCTCTTCTACCACACAATTTCATATAATTCATCAAACTGTTTGGCCCGTTTATGCAAATCACCAATCACAATAGCTATAATACTTTAATATTGTTGTGAAGCTACTGAGAAGAAAATCAAATGAACTCATAATTCTGGAATACTAGATGACAATCTCACTGCAAAGGTTTCTCACTGCAAATGCTACGACATGTTATCCATACTATCAGTATTACCAATTCAATTTATATACATAAGACTATTAGTCCATCTTTGCCTAAACTAAAATGCTTATTACACATAGGACACCTTAAAAATATTACTAATAATCAGTGGATGAATCTATTATAACTATACAACCACTTATCTACGTTCATGTATAAACAAATCACGATGCGCGACAAAGAAGCTAAGAATTTCATACGCACATGTTTTGGTAGAAGTCAACATCACTCAAAAGCCAAGAGAAAAAATATGTATAAAAGACCATAATGGTAAAATATTGGAGGAAAGATTTGAATATGAATTAAAACTAAGTATTGTCATTCATGCCTGAGAATAGGGCGTGATTGTGCGGAACAACCGAAGAAAAAAACAGCGACCTCGAAGATTTGGAAACCAGTGAATACCAAAGCACATGTGGAAGCAGAAAAACTTATACCACAATTCGGTAAGACCCAGGCAAAACAGATAACAAATACTACACTTGAATAAGATACACCCACTGGTACAGAAAGCATAACCAATGACACAACGCTTGTAACTTCTCCACGAACTATCATGTCCATACTTACTAGTAAAATAAGGAAGAAACTTGGACATATATGGACCTATGAAGACAACTACAACCATCATGAAGATGGAAGAATTTTGCTCAAGTGGAAGCCGAGTGAGATGCTTGTCAAAGTTCTGCACACTGCAGAATAGTACATTCATGCTGAAATCTATAGCTTGGATCGAGCTATTATGTATACCGTTACCGCAATCTACGCTTTTAATCAACTTGAGAAACAGATATTGCTTTGGAAATATCTTGAAGTTTTGAGGAGGAATATAAACACTCCTTAGATAGTTATGAGGGATTTAAATAACGTTTTAACGAGCAAGGATCGTATTGGCGGTAACAACATGACAGAGGCTGAATACAAGAATCTTGAGAATATGCTGAAAGCCACCGGGCTTTATGAAGCCACAACTAGAGTGATTGGGAATGTAGAATGGTTCCAGAAATTTCATGATGCAATTGTGGAAGTAATGACGCCTAATATCTATGACCATGCACCGTTAAGGATCGCCATGAATCAGCACCAGGCAATAAGGAAAAAACCAATGTTCAAATTTATTAACATGATTAAGCCAAAGGATGCATTCAATAAAAGAATGAACACATGAAGTGCCAACAATAAACAGGACCAGAATGTCAAGCATTGTTAAGCAAACAACTCCTAAACCACAAAGAACTTCTAACCAAAATACAATTAATGCCTCATCAAAGTTACTATTGTAGATTTATGTAAAACAACTTCTAAACAAGCTATCATAATCCAAAACTTCTAAACAACTTCTAAGTATAACGACATATTGTTGATGTCGAAACCACAGAGTAACAATCAATTTTATTAAAAGTTTTGGATGCTTCACAATAAAGTACTATAACTATTGTGATTGGTGTATGAAATTGTGAGCAATTGATGACTTGTTGAGAATAGTTTGATCAAATATTTTCATAATATAGTACTTTAAACTTTTAGCTAGTTTATGCAAAAAAATACCTGACAGTTAGAAGTCTGCTTTATCTTCAATCCTCATCAAAAGTATCATAAGAATTACCTCCGTTAGATTGGTTTTGCAAAAAATATTCTGAAAAATAAGGTAGAAGTCTATAAAAAAATTATATGAAATAAATACCATCTTTAATCAAACTTTCTCAATTTATTATTAAATTTAACTTTACCTCGCTCAATCTTCTCAAGCACTTCAATATCATCTTGTGTGGGCAATGGTGAAGGTGATCCGCCAAGCCAATCTTCTGTGCATATAAGTGCTTCCACAGATTTAGCAGTTAGGCGACTGCGATATTCATTGAGAACCCTTCCTCCGGTACTGAAGGCGGACTCAGATGCCACCGTTGAGACGGGTATAGCTAATAACTCTCTCGCAATGTTAGATAGGATTGAAAGTCGACTTGAATACACCTTCCACCAATTTAAGATATCAAAGTTAGGAATATCATCTTCTAATCCATCTTCTAGGTACTTTGTTAATTCAGATTTCACTCCACTTGGTTTGACACCACTTGATTGCAAAAATACCCCATAATAATAGTCGGGATTTCCAATTCGTCCAACTAATACGGGTGGTTCTGCAGAGTCACTTTGAGATCCACCTGTCCCACCACCGTTATACTCCTCAAATATTGTTTTCAAATCTAATTCTAATTTATCCTTCAAGAAATCAGCCTCTTTTTTGACAAAGTTTTTTTCGATAAACCAACGAGTATACATCATTTTCTTCCTGGGATCTAACACAAAAGAAATTAACAACAACATGTTCAATTTCTCAGGACTTCCCCAGTACTTATCATATTTCTCCTTCATCTTTAAAGCTATTTTTCTTGTATGAGCTAAAGATAGATCCTTAGACGAACACATGTCTTTTATAGCCAAACTAATTGAAAATACCTCTGCCAAGTACATATTACTTGTCACGTATGTTGAACCCGATATGCGCAAAGTGGAAGCCTTAAAAACTTCCAAAAATTGAGCGACCCCACGTGCCTTCTCCCAATCTAAAGGGGTAGGAATGCCGCTCCCACTCTCAAGTTCTTGACAATATTTTGTATCAATAATACCAAGCTCAACAAATGCCATTTCAAGTTGTAGAGCAGCCTTCAACATGTCGTATGTTGAATTCCATCGAGTCTCACAATCAAATTGAACACTACCTTTGTATTCAATCTGTCTACTTCTAACACATGCCAAAAACTTATGTTCTCGACCCGGAGAAGACTTAACATACTTAACAGCACCCCTGATTCTAGAAACAGAAATGTCAATTTCTTTTAAACCCTTTTTAACCACTAAATTCATGACATGTGCACAACATCTTGTATGAAAGTGATCTCCATTCAAAACCAAATCATTCCTTAACCTTAGCCTCTTTTTTAGATTTTCAATCCCACGATCATTTGACGCCGCATTATCAACCGTCACAGTTAAAACATTATTCAACCCCCAATTGTCCAAGCATTTTGCAACTGTATTTGCTATTACTTCTCCTGAATGACTTAAGACCCTAACAAAACTCAAAATCTTTTTGTGTAATTTCCAGTTGTTGTCTATAAAATGTGTTGTTATACACATGTAAGTCATGTTTTGACATGAAGTCCAACCATCTTTGGTCAAGCACACACTTCGACAATGTTGGGAAAGAAAGGTCTTCAATTTTTCCCTTTCAAAATCCCATAAACCCAAAATATCACGTGCTACTGTGCTTCGGGAGATTGGAATAAATCTTGGTTGCAATACACTCATACAACGACGAAAAACTTTATGATCTACATGCATATACGGAAGCTCCATTTCCACAATCATATCAACCACTGCCTGCCTACATTTCTCTTGGTCAAATTTTCCTAACCCAATTGCTGAAGGAGAAGTCACATTTGTTGTTGACGATGGAGTTGTTTTCAATCTCTTATTTGCTTCACTATTTGGGTTACTCTTGCATATCTTTGAATGTCCGATCATGGAAGTCGTTCCATTATTGGATTTTAACTTAGAGTCACAGTAGTTGCATCTAGCTATTCCAATCAAATCTGGATCAGGAGTGAAGTGGTTCCAAACAGAAGATTTGTTTCTTCGATGGGGGTGGTGCCCGAGTAAAAGTAGTTCCCGAGTTTTGTGTTGTCTCATCCGTCGTAAGATTATTATGTTTGGGCATTTCCTGCTTTTGATAGAACAACCAAATGTTAAATTAATTCAAAGAAATAAGAAATTAATAAAAATTATGCAGAGATGTTAATAAAAATTACTAAAAGCATAGTGTACAGGGAAGTAACATTACTAGTGTCTTTTAGGCTGTAGTATACTAGCTATTAGTTATATGCAGTTGCGTCCAAGTTCCGACCACACTCATTTAACATACTACACAAGCTTTAATTGATTTCATTTCAGCCTTACATAACATGCACTGCAACACTACCATCATCAGGCAGTGCTCACCTGCAACTCAGGCAATGCTAGTGACTCAAAAGATGCTACATCAACTTTATACTTCCCAACATTAGCCATCTGTGAGACTCTTGGCTGCCAATGCCATTAAATAACACACCCTTTAGTCAAATAAGCAAAGCTTTGACAAAACTAAACAAGACTGTTATGTAGGATCTGGATTGTGTGACTCTGATATGCTGCCAAATAACAAGTCACAACAGTCAGCACATATAGGTGCTCGGATCAAAATTGTTCATATTTCAATTTCATCAGAGTAAATTACAAATATAAACTTGGAATTAAAACCGTCCAAACTTAATGCTACAGTCTAGATGTACTAACTGAAGTGACTACACGGTATTTTGGCTGCATTTAACTCAAATTCTTAATGCCACAACATTTTTAGAAACACTTAAAAAATCCTCTCAAGTTATTCTGTGGTTGCTAAAAGAGATGTTTTAAAAACCGAACCGAACTCATGATTCAAACCAGCATTGTCTACAATTAGGTTATTTACACAGTTAGATTGCGGTTTCATCCAAGCTCAAGTGGTTGAATCACGATTATGACGTCTCATTAATTCAATGTCCGGTAAGACACCAACCGTAATAATTGCTTTTAAACTAAAAAAAAATTCTGACTCTAAACTAAAGTTACAGCAAGTATGATTACATATGTGTTGGTCAAGTTGCTGTCCTCCAATCAATAGCATTAAGTTCACAAAATGTATGGAAAGGAGGACAGTAACTACACAATCCAAATCTATAATGTTTTACAATGGTTTAAAGGTGTTAAAACAATGAAATTTGTATAATGTTTTGTAATGAAATGATTCATCTAATTCCATGCACAACATTTGTGTTTAAACTCCAACAAAACATACGGTAATATTCAGTCAAATGTTATTACAGACTCCTACAAATAAAATTAAACCATAATGAAAGTGCTAAATTGCACTCATCCTCTAATTCTTTTTCTAGACAGAATTTTCCAACATTCAGAAAACTCTATTCATAATTCTCTAGATCCTCATATTGTACACTAGAATCATCAAACTCAATATCATGATTTCACTAAAAGCCAAACACTTGAACTACTTAAGATGGAACAACTACAACTAAAGCAGACTAAAAAGTAGTCGCAAGCAGTTCAAAAACAGCAGCATGTCAATCTGGTTGCAGAATATGGGGCAAACTATAGAATAATATTAGTAACATATTGATGAATTAATATGGTAGCATATATAGATCAGTACCTCTAAACTCAAAAAGCAATGTGATTAACAACAGTCTTAATCAAACACAATAACATTTATGAACCTCATTGAGGCATTTTCACAAACAGCTTGTGATTGCATATATTAAACATTTCTATGTTTTCCTATAACATGAATATTTATAACATATGAATTCAAATGAGAAAGAATACAATAGATGAATTTTTTGGAACTAATAATCAAGGTTCTGCAATTTATGATAATCGAAAATGGAATGTAAATGCATTTACCTGAGTTAAAAAGGAGGATTATCGTTTATGTTAGGGTTTTCCAATGAGATTGAAAAAAGAAGAAAGAATACATCGATTGAGATTGAGAGAGAGGAACAAAGAATACATCAATTGAGAGAGAAGAACTGAAAATTGCAATTGGGCTTCTTCTGGATTTTTATTTGGTTGTGGTTATCCATTCAATTGGATGTGGGTGTCCAACTAATTTTAAAATGGATTGGTTGAAAAACCAAAATAAAATTAACCGGTTTTTGAAAATTGGATTCGGATATGGTTATGGATAAACCACCAAACCGGTTAATTTGAGCATCCCTAATTATGGTTAACCGATCCTCCTATTTTTGCTCTTAATTTATTACTAATGACCCTCTTGATTAGGGCTCAACCCAGAATTTGTTTTTTTTTTGTTAGTATTTGGTTTTTGTGCGATGGGCTTAGGGAGATCCATGAATGGGTAATTTCAACAATCACCCCATATTTTCCAACGCACCCCCTTTACTTTCTTGTTTTTTTATTATTTATTTTATTTTATGTTTTTTCTAATACTTGTAAATAGATACAAGATGATTTAATTTTATTTTGATACACCCATGATATTAATTTTACATTTTATTTATGTTTTTTATTGAGATTAATTTTAATTTTACTACCCTTACATTTCCATTTCGATTTTGCTTCGACTTGGTCAATGAAAGTCAAATATCATGGGTTGTCGATTTATCGACTTATTAATCTTGATTAAGACGAGACCATTTTCATTTCAATTTCCATCCTCAATCCATTCTAGATCTGCAGTTATCTTTTCAATATTTTTGGTCAATAAAGTCTTTCTGTTCATAGACGTTAATTTATTAAGGTTGTTAACCTTCATTATTTTAAATCTGTAGAAATGATCATTGGAATTATTTTGTATACTTTGGGATCGTGATAGGTTACCTTTGATTAATTAACACGAGTTTGTGATTAAGACGAGACCATCCACTTTTTGCCCCGTGCGACACGATTAAATTAGAGAATGATTCTCAATATCATTTTTCTATCTTGTTTTTAGCACGAATATTTATTTACATGACCTCCTATAGTTCAAATTTTGTTATAAGTCGAGCTATGACGGTTTAGCGCTACATTTCGTCCCAATTCAATTCACAAATCAACTAACCACTAACATTACTTTCCGTCAATATACAATTGTTTTATTTTTAGTCAAATACACCCTTGATTTAAATTCAGTCATTACATCTCGATTATATTACCTTGTTCATATTATTTTGGATATTATCTTGATTATATTGTTATATATCTTGTCATATTATTCACAATTGTTCATATTCATATTCATATTATTCATTTGTTATTCACACGTATTCAAAAACACTTAATAAATGATCGAAACGCTAAAAGCCTAAATTGGTGTACTGTTGATCATTGGATTTTATCAGGAACCCTAGCTTGGAGGTTTTGTCCGAATTTTTCTCAAGGCTTAGTTTAGAACATATTGCACACATACGGCTTTCTCTTGGGCTACCTGACAATGAACTCTTTTATTTCGTGCAATCTCGTGTAACTTACATGTACCCCTCTCCCACTCTGATGTATGCATTCGTATTTCATTTTGATTGTGGTTTATATTCTAGAAGCACCCTTAGGTACTAGCGTAGATCAAATTGTTCTAAAACTAATTATTGATTCGTCATCGAGCCATTTTCAAACACCCCTGGTAAGTCGAGTGCTCGTCTGCATTCGCCATCAATCTATCGCACACACTTTCACATTTCTTCATGGTTTCAATATTGGGAGCACCCTCAGGGACTAGTATCACTTCTCACAACCTAACCCTTGATTCATTGTCAAGCCGGTTCCGTTTTCAAACCAAACCCTCGACTTGTCGTCGAGCCATTTTCAAACCCATCTTCCATTCCACCACGGTTTCGCACACGAATATAAGTCAAACCCTTGATCCAACGTCAAGCGAATTTTCTCAATAAATTATTAAATCAATCAACAACTATTAAATTCTTTTCAAGGTGAAAAGAGGGGGATTGAGCCTTTAATCTCCCTTCAATTGTTTGGATGCGAGTTATCTTACTCGTGTGTGAGCAATTGACGCCTCTAAAAACATTTCCAACTCAACAACGTAAAACTATCTTCCAACCACTCATTATTCAAACACCTTTCAAACATAACTTATTTTCAAGGTGAAAAAGAGAGAAAATCGGGTCTTTGACTCACTCTCCCGATTACTTGGACCCGAGGACCCTTTCTTAAGGTTCGAGTAATCGTCATCCGTACCAAAACATCAACCAATGCAACCCTTCATCTCTTCGTGGCCGTCTCCACAAACTACGAACACTCTGATTCTTCATTCATTTTTGAATGTAAGATACGTAGGCACAAGATTGCGATGATCTTGGCGAGCTACCTTCAATCCATCTTCCGTTTCCCGATATCCTTTCCTGTAGTTGAACTACGAGAGCTCTGATTTCTCATTCTCATTTGAATGAGCATACGTAGGCACAAGGGCCTCAATCCTTGGCGAGCACTCTATCCTATAAAACACCCATTTCCCCTTAGCGTCTTTATCCTTTTATCGTGCCGTATAGCATATATTTTTTTAGAAGAAAATAACTAAGTTTAGCTAATGTTCATCACAATTCGAACTAAGAGGTTCCTGTTGAGTACAACGGATGTGAGGGGTGCTAATACCTTCCCCTTACGTAACCGACTCCCGAACTCGGAACATCGGTAGCGACGGTCGTGTTCCTGTCCTTTCGTTCTAAAAGGTTTTCTCAATATTTTCCTTTCCCGTTTATTCGGGATAAATAAAGTTCAGTGGCGACACTGTCGAACTGCATTTTCGCGCCTTTCGCGCGAGGGTCATATTGTTCGAATGAATTTTCGAGGTGTGACAGTTGGCGAATCTGCTGGGGGCCTAATAGCTCTATGCAAGAGAGATTCAAGCCTATCTTAGTTAGAATTTTGCGCTTGTTAGCTTCTCTTATTCTTTTTCTTCTCGCTTGTTTGTTCGCTCTCCTATCCTTATCTTTGTTGCTTTTGATTTTTGTAACATTGTTGGGTTGCTCTGCTTATAGGTGCTTTGTGAGATGACTCTATACCCGAGTCTGAGTAAAACCCTAGGTTTAGGATGGTGGTTGTGTAGTGGATACTTTCGTGGGTTCTTCCACGTAAGGCCGAAG